CTGTGCTCTCTGTGTATATATATATATATATATATATATATATATATATATATATATATATATATATATATGATACCTGGTTTAAGTATGCATGGTAAAGTTCAAAAACATTTATTTTATTCTCAATGTTATGGAATAACTCCCAAAAAAGTGTGCTTAATTGCAGAAAAAAGGTGTTCGGTAGTAACGTTCCTTAAAGTTACACACAGACTTTTCAGACTTTTGAACACATTTACCTCAAAATGATGGGACCTATCTACTCACGCCTTATAGCTATGAGAGAGGGGGACACAGGAATATTTCCTGATCATACATTTATGGGTTTAGTTCAAATCAGTCTCGGCCAATGGACTAAAACATACACTGTCTAGTTAGTGACATGAAAAATGCAGGACACGTTTTTTTTTTACATTAAGTTTCATAATTTACAAAGAAAATATAAAATAAATATTTTTTTGAACTGTACTTTTTAAAAGAATAAAAAAAAGATACTTTTAAAAACAACAATGGAGAAAATTACAAAAATTATTAAGCTTTCTAATATTTTAAATATTGTGGGGTTCAATAGCTAATAGAAGGATCATAATAAGCATCTAAGATTTGAATACTTAAATTTCAAAAACATTTATTTTGCATAATTATTCTCAATTGTGATTTTCACTTAATTTTAATGACTGAGATTATTTTTATAATTAAAATTTGACATTAGGCATAATTGTAAGACAACTCATTTTCAAATTTAGACCAAATTCACTTGACCCATTTTTATTCTTTATCTGAAAATAATGCATACAACTTCATATTTAGCTCACATACTGTAAAGAATATCACACAGATATTAACTTGACGACAAAAAAACTGAGTCTTTCCACAGAGGATTATCCTTTTGGGTTTGGTCATGTGTCCAAACAGATCTCCTTCTTCCCCCGCCATCATTAGCCACATGATCCCAGGAAGACAGATGAAAATGTAAGGCTATATTTTGTTTTACCAAAATACAGCATTAAAACACAAACTAGACTTTAACCAGCCAGCAGTGCCTATAAAATTAGGAACAAAAGAAGCAGTTCCTATCAAGACCACTGCAATAGAACTCAGATCTCCTCGCTATGACCTTAACCCCTCTGAAGTGGACCGGAGCATCAGACAGGTGTACCCTCCTGTTTCTTCTTCTCACCCTGATTCCTGAAGTACTCATAATTGAGCAGGGCATCTCGTTTCAATGGGAGAGTGGGCTCTGGGACAGTGCTGGCATCCACACCCAGCTGCTTGGCTTGCTGGGCCAGGATCATCGCACGCAGGAGAGGCGGGTATCTCGCGTAACGCACAGGAGGCTCAGGGACAGGTTCACAGCGTTTGAAGACCTCTTCTTCATGTTTGGGCACCAGTCGCCAGTCATGGTACATCACCTTATCCACTTCACGCTCTCTAGCCTCCTCTTTACCTGAAACCCACATCCAAACAATGCGTCACAGTAAGGTTGCTGTATGTATTTGCTATATTTGTTTACCTTGTATAATTCTACTGAAAATATAAAATCTTGTCATTCATTCATTACTGTTCAAGATTTCAACTGTTCAAGTTTGTGGTCGGTAAATTTTTTGCTCATTTAAAAAGAAAAAAAAAGGGGGGGAAAAAAAGTCTAATTCTTACCAAAGCTGCATTTATTTGATCAAGAATACATTAAAAACAGTAATATTGTGAAATATTATTACAATTTAAAATGATTGTTTACTGTAATTTAATACTGTGATGGCAAAGCTGAATTTTGAGCAGTCATTGCACCAGTCTTGCACCTTCAGAAATTATTCTAATATGTCCATTTGGTGCTCAAGAAACATTTGTGCTGCTTAATATTTTTGTAGAATCCGTGATAAAAAAGTTCAGGATTCTGTGGTGAATAAAAAGTTCAAAAGAATAACATTTATTTGAAATCAAACACTTTTATAACATTATAATAATCTTTGTCACTTTTTATCGATTCAATGCATTCTCGCTTAATTTAGTTTCCTTACAAAAAATCTATATATAGCAGTGCCACAACACCAAAATACTACATAGCTGGTGTAGAAGTGATACGGCAGAACAAAAGAGGAACGAGATTTTTTTAAGGAACTACCTTTTATTAAAAATAAGTGGCATTATTTATGTTTGTGGATTAGTTAGTTGTTCACAGAGAAGGTAGGCCTGGGCGATAAAATGGTATCGATATTTATCGGTGGTACACCTTCTTCGATAACGATAAAAAATGTTCGATATAGCGCACGATATAGGCACGTGCTCTGAGTGATGCAGAGAGCACACACAAACACGAGTGCTGTGACTGCCTGTGATGAGGAGATTGTGAATAAAGAATGAATAGTAGTCGAATTTAAAATAAACATTTGCATTTGAATGTTAGGTGTGCATCAGGGAGCGTCATCAGCGGCGCACGAGATGTGGTGATGATGATGTAAGTGACGTTGTTGCATTTGAATGTTTTGTCAGTCTAGCCCACGAGACGAGCCGCTGCTGCGTTATTCATTCAAAATATTAGAGAAATATAGAAGCTCAATGCGGCGAAGATCTTGATTAGGTTAAAACCAAGCCATTCACACAGATGCATATTCAGCGCATTTTTAGTCAGACAAATATGACTGCTGCACTCGCGTCTCACACAAGAGATGCATAGAAAGCCATGCAAAGTTAAAACAGTTTAAACTTTTAGAAAACGCATCGCAAATTTGTGGAGGTTTATTCCTTTTCACTGCGTCTCAT